GGGTTCAGCGTTGCAGGGCAGAAGGCAGCTTGTTCTCGAGAGCAGAGTGAGGGTGAGTGGAGGCTGCGGCAGGGTGCCGAGTGGCTGCTGGGTGGGGAGTGCGCATTCGGGGCAGTTGCTCTCAGAAGTGGCTTTAGCGGTTGAGTTTAAGGAAGAGGTCTCTTGGCAGAAGGAAAAGATTGAGGGAGTTGTACAATTTCCTCCCATCAATTACCCTGGTGTTCATGGTTACCTTCTTGCAGGAGTGTGTGCTTGCAGCCCTGGGCAGATTGCAGAGAGCTACCTAAGTAGGGAAGTTGTCACAAATGAAGCCCCCACCCCCTTTAGAAGGTGCTTCCCTGTTCACCTACACTACCACCTAGGAAAGGAACAGGGTGGCCCTTTCCAGCCGGGAGGGCATCAACAACAGAGATGTGGCCCTTTCTCTCCCCAGAGGCAGACAGCAGGGTGGAATGGAGTTCCTCTAGTAGTCAGGGGGTCTGGGCCATGAGCTCTGAACCAGTCTGTTCTCCAGTCTGGGAATGAAGAGGTTAGCCTGGGAGGAGGTGAGGCCCCTAGGTGCTCTGTAGCCCTGCCCACCTGTGTCCTGTCCCACTGGAAGACAAAGAGCCCCCCACCCCCAGAATGCAGAGTTAGCTGGGGCAACATGCTAGTACCAGGTGGGCCCTGCTAGGCCTGTTTCAGGAACCAGGACATCAGTCCAGATCTCAGATTGGGTTCTGGTCTCAGCTCTGCACCAGCTCACGCTCACCCCGGGCGAGTGTGCACGTCTCTGGATCCTCACTTTGTCATGTACAGAGTGCCTGAAGGTCCTCCTGGCCTCGACACCAGCTGATAAGCCAGCCAGCCAAGAGAAGTGCCTTGACCGTCTTTGGGAGGGGCGATGATGGGACAGACAGGACGGAGACCAGGGAGCTTTGCGAGAATGTAAGGGAATCTGCGCCAACCCTGAGTCTGACCTGCACTTGAGATGTGACTGTGACCTTTGTTGTTGCAGGAAGACATGGCCGCTCACGTCGGAGCTTCCCGGACTCCGCAGGAAGTGATGGAGCATTACGTAAGCATGTACATCCACGGCAACCTGGGGAAGGCCTGCATCCCCGACACCATCCCCAACCGGGTGACAGACCACACCTGCCCCAGTGGAGGCCCCCTGTCTCCCAGCCTCACCACCCCCTTGCCTCCCCTAGACATCTCGGTGGCCGAGCAGCAGCAGCTGGGCTACATGCCGCTGCGGGACGACTACGAGATCGAGTACGACCAGGACGCCGAGACGCTCATCAGCGGGCTCTCGGTCAACTACGACGACGACGACGTGGAGATCGAGCTCAAGCGCGCGCACGTGGACATGTACGTGCGGAAGCTCAGGGAGCGGCAGCGGCGCAAGAACATCGCCCGCGACTACAACCTGGTGCCGGCCTTCCTGGGGAAGGACAAGAAGGAGAGGGAGAAGGCGGCCAAGCGCAAGGTCACCAAGGAGGAGCGGGAGCTGCGGCAGAAGCTGCGGCCGCTCTACCAGTTCATGTCCTGCAAGGAGTTCGACGACCTGTTCGAGAACATGCACAAGGAGAAGATGCTGCGCGCCAAGATCCGCGAGCTGCAGCGCTACCGGCGCAACGGGATCACCAAGATGGAGGAGTCGGCGGAGTACGAGGCCGCGCGGCACAAGCGCGAGAAGCGGAAGGAGAACCGCAGCGCGGCGGGCGCCAAGCGCGGCCGCGAGGACGCCAAGGACGGCGAGTTCGCGGCCATCGAGCACCTGCCCGGCTTCGAGCTGCTGTCCGACCGCGAGAAGGCGCTGTGCAGCTCCCTGAGCCTGAGCCCGGCGCGCTACGTGACCGCCAAGACCATCATCATCAAGGACCACCTGCAGAAGCGGCAGGGCATCCCCTCCAAAAGCCGCCTTCCCAGCTACCTGGACAAAGTGCTCAAGAAAAGGATTTTGAATTTCCTCACGGAGAGCGGCTGGATATCCAGGGATGCGTCCTGAGGCCGGGCCTGCCGAGCGGAGCGCAGCGAGGAGACCTCGGCGAGATGACCGCGAGGGCCGCGGGGCGGGGCAGGGAGAGGGACCCATTTCCCCATTGTTCTTTTTTAAGCAAATTGCGTTTCTTTTTTTAGGATGTAAATTATTTTCATGGCCCTGTGAAAGAAACAATAGTAACAATCTTAGAGCAGATCATGGGGGAAACAGTACAGGTGTATTGTACCTTAGTCCTGAAAATAGTAGCCAAGATGACGATTTGCCTTTGTGAGTTCAGTTTGGAGAAGTGAGGGGACCGGACCACCCCCGTGAGCCCCTTCCCGCTGGCGCACCTCGTGCTGCCCGCCCGCCGCTGCCCGCCTTCCCCGAGAGGCTCGGGCACGCGGCACTTTGGGTGGCCGCCGGCAGGCAGGCGGTGAGGAAGAGGCTGCTAGAGAACAGTGACCAAATGAGCGTCCCTTTAACTCTTGGCAGGAGCAGACTGAGCTTGCAGTTCCCAGGCCCGAATCTGCCCCTTTGTGCCTCTGGGCAGAGCGCCCCCTAGCGTGGACAGGGTGGCGGTGGGGACACATGGCAGCAGGACCACCAGCCTAGGACTCAGCCCCTTCCTGGTGGCAGCCGCTGGCTCCTCTTTGTACTTGCTGTGTGTTGTACTTGCAAGACGTTGTTTGAGAAAGTTCATAGCTGAGAGTGTGAGTTCTGGTATTACTGCCCTCCAGGGTTTTTGTCACAGTTGCAAGTACCTTTTTCACTGAAACCCTGACCAAGCTAGGCTGGCTAAGCATCCTAACTAACTTCGGGTGGCTTCAGGCGCCCTGCTGACCAACCAGCCAGGCGAGACGCGCCAGCTGGGTCCCGAGGCCCTCACGCTGCTTCTCTGAGTCGTTCTTGAACCAGACTCGATGTGCCTCTGCCCAGCCCTACTTCGGTTTGTCAAGCGCCCTCTTGAACGGTACCTTCCTTTGGCACTTGGGCTAGCCATTTGTCTTCCGGCTGCTCAGGGCTCTCGTCCAGGACCCTGCTTTAGCCAGTGGAGGGGCCAGGCCCAGACGCCGCTCCTCCCGGCATTTGGCCTGCACAGCCACCGAGAGACTGTTTACCTCCCAGAATGTTTGGGCTTGAAGTTCTATTAAAGTGAAGTTATTTGAAAGAGAAAAAGATCCTCATCATTTCCAAGGATGACAATTACGGTGCCTTTTCCTTTCTTTTTACATCTTTCTGTCCCCTAAGGTAAAAATTTTCAGCATTAAAGAGATCATTTCAAGTATATGTACATGGCTGTAGTTGTCAAGTACATGGCATGCTGGCAGAGAAACGCTCCGTTAACTAAGCCCAGGACTTCTCTTTGACAAGAGCATTGAGCGGTGGTGCTGCCTCTGAGGGCCACCGCCACAGCCCCTGCGGGCGGCTCCGTGCAGTGCTGTAGTGTCTGCCGCTGAACCGTGAGGGAGCCAGCTGAGGTCTGAGAGGTTTCTTACCAGTGGTTCTTACCCAGGGTTCCTGGACCAGCAGCATCCGCCTCCCCTGGAACCTGCTAAAATAAAGACTAGGGGCGGGCCCCTGGAGCTGGCTGTACAGTACCCCAGGTGCCCTGGGCGCAAGCTGAGCTTGGAGAACTGCTGGGTTTGGCCACCCTGGAGTCGTCATGTGTGGGTTTTCTGTCAGATGCCTAGCTTGGTGAGGTTTTAAATTTAGTCTTATTTTTCTATAAAATGATTGCTAGACGGTCATTAAGCTTGAGAAGCACACCGCTGTGGCTGTGTGGCCCAGGCCGAGCTGACCAGTGAAACAGTTGGTGGTTAGGGTTTGCAAGATCTCTATCTTTCTGATGGCATGAAGAGTTTACTTAGGCCTGACTGTTTTAAAACACCATAATGAATGTATAACTAATTTATGTTAAAGTAGGAACTGTGTTACGGGGAGTGATTTTGGCTTGGTTGCCTTTACCCCACCCACTCCAGCTATCCATTGTCAGGTTCGTCCTTAACCCTGCTGTTGGCTCAGAGCCTTTACATTTCTGTATTGAATTTTTGTAAGTTAGTTGCCATAATCCCACAGAATTAGGTCTTTTCAAAACTGAAACTCCAGCCTCGGGTCCAGTCCATGATTCAGCTCTTCTAAACGCTCTGGACGGCCAGCGTTCCAAGATCGTGTTCAAGCCCTCGACCATGTCCACTGCCCTTTCCTTATTAAACAAGTTGCAAGCAAAACAGTGTCACTGCCTGCCTAGCACCTGCTCCGCGGGCCTCGGCTTTCGAGCTGCCTTCACGTGCAGGACGGGGGACAGAGTGTGGAGGCTTCAGCCGGCACTTCTGTGAAACCAGTTTCCCTCCGGACTTCGTTAGGCAGGACACCCCGTGCCAGCCCTGGTTCCCTGAAAGGCCCCCAGAGAAAGGGCACCCTGCATGGCGCCCCCAGGCTGCAAAGGGCTGTCAGCAGGCCCAGGCTGGCTCGATGGTCGGCACTGTGGTGTAGACCGCACTTACACCAAACCCCGAAGCACAGGCGGGTAGCCGCCAGTGTGGTCCTCAAATAACGTCATTCTGTATAACGGTAAGATGCTGTAGGAACCCAGCTCCCGTCTGTATCCGTGAGCCTATGGTCAATGGGTTTCATTCCACGTGAGTTCCCTTGAAGTTGCAGAACCTGTGGACACGTTGAGGACACTGTATGTAGTTCAGTGTTTTCCCTTGAAAGGTGACTCGGTGGTTCCCCGCGTGTAAGCTACCCCGTCTCGGTTAGGGCCTCAGCAGTGGAGGGGCTGCACACCCACAGGAGTTATTTGAAAATGACTCTTCCTGTGCAGCTGAGCCCCAGGGGCGGGGTGCCCTCACAGCTCGTGTGGAAAGGGGGGCCGACTCCCCGGCCGTTTCCTGGGTGTGAGGTGGGCCGCCTTACTTCTGGGGTATGTCTTTGACCAAGTAATTTAAAGGAAAGGAGAAAAATGTTCTGAAATTGTATAAACTGAAATTTTATTTTATTTTATTTTATTTTTGGTACATGCCCCTAGTGGGAACCGAACCCGGGACTCTGTTCCCCAGACCGACGCTCCAACCACTGAACCAAACCGGCCAGGACTAAACTGAAATTTTAATAATGGGAATATTACATCTTTCAAAATTATAAGCAAAGTAAAATGACCTCCCTGTATTTCTTATGTAGTAATGGGTTTAACAGTATTGACTTTCAATCCTAGAAGCACCCCTGAGAAGCAAAGGCACTGGGGGTGACTTTTTGTTTACAACAGATATGGCGGGTCCTATGGCAAGTCATGGGCCAGCTTCTGCAGACTGTCCTTGCCGCAGCTCCTGAGTGTTGGCGGTCCCCAGCAGTCCTGAGGCAGACACGTCCACCCCGAGCAGGCCAGGAGCAGGCCAGTCCCACGCCAGCCTGCGGTGCACGAGACGGAAGCTACCAAGTGACTGCGTGTACGTGGCAAGTACACAACCCCCTGATTTGAGCAGAACTGGAAGCGAATGCACGCTTTCCTTAGGCTCTCCACCGAGGTAACAAAAAGTTATCCGAAAGTAAGAAACTAATAAACATTCGGGATTTAATCCTCTTAAATAAAATTTAAAAACTAAACATTAATATTTCACTTTTACCAAGCATGCAGTCCTCAGATTTTGAAAAAGACCATCTTACTGGGGAGCACAGCTTCAGGTTATCAGGACCTAGCTGAATGTAAGATTCAAACATTCCCATAAAATAGGTGAACAAAACAGGGCAAAAGGAACTGGTTTTTGTCAGATTTTGTTATTGGCAAAATAGGGTGAGAGCCGTTAGGGTAGGGCCGTTAGGGTACGTGTGCTCTTTCACACCGCCAAGGACAGCCGCAGGCCCATCATGCTTAGCAGCTAGATGGTAATCCCAGCCGAACTCGCCTGTGTTCACCAAGGACACTTTTGAGCAAGAACAAAGGTTCAAGTCCTGCCTTCCCATCACTGAGCGAAGTGCAGAGGGCTGAGGACCCCCGAGCTCGCGCTAGTGAGAAGCACAAGGCGCACAGGGCAGCCCGCACGGCCCACAGCCAGACAGCACGGTTCCCGAAGACCTTTTATTCATTGAGAATACGTCGGAGTCATCAGACTTTGGGCAGATGTAGCGTTATTCATGATAGTCTAGGGCCCAGTGGTGTCCCATTGGCCTGTTCTGTAAGCATGTGAAATATTAAATGTGTATTGAGAATCAACAAACAGGCTCCCAAATTAGAGTCCAGTAACGCAGCTGTGCAGCCGGCCTAATTTTCTGTGGCCGCTGGTTACTAAAGCTTTCCAACGAGGTTTGGGGAAGGTAGGCGTATTCATAGATGAGATTAGATGAACCAGCCTCGTAAGTGACAGCAATGGCCACCCAAACCCACCCAAGCCCCAAGGGAAGCTACGCTTCCTTCACCACCCCCACCAGGGCAGGCCGCAGGGTGCGCCCGTGCAGCTTGTAGCCCACTTTGCTAACCAGCGCCACTGTGCCCGGCTCCTTGCCCTCCACCGGTGTGTGGAACAAGGCCTCGTGCTCGTAGGGGTCGAACTTGGCTCCCACAGGGTCCAGCCTGAGTAGCCCATGCTTTGTGAACACCTTCTGGATCTGGACCTCGGTCATAACGAGCCCCTCGTACAGGCTCTTCAGGTGAGGGTTGTCATCTGTAACCTCTTCTTTGGGAACACACTGTGTCGCCTTCTCCAAAATGTCCGCTACCTCTACCAAGTCCTTGCAGAAGCTCTGGATGCCTAGACAAAGTCAGAGAAGAGCATCTGTGCCCATTCATAGCAACTGGTGGACAGTTCAAAACTCAACTTCAATGGCTTGACTGAAAAACCCAAACACCTTTTCTGGGTTTAGACCAGAGCTAATTAGGTATGAAGACTAGCAGCTGAAAATGTGCAGGACCACCTCGTCACCAGCCCACGTAACCTCCTGGGCCTGGTAGTCACCTCGGGGAAGCAGGGAGCTACACACCCCTGGCCGGTACCTAGCTGCTGTGTGATCTTGGTCAGCCTCTCTGGGTCTCAGACCCTCCCATTATAAAGAGGGATGACAACAGTGCCTGCCAGTGGAGCTGGGAGGACAGGCCATACTTGCGGGCCCCGGGACACTCGGTATTCACTACATGTTAGCAACTACTAGACGCCACGGGGTAAAAGTTACCAAGACTCATCTAACAGAAGACAGTATCAGAAAAACCACTCAAAATTCAAGGCAGTATATTACATGATTTCTGTGGTTTTAGAAAACATGGTTCAGATGCCGACCGGAAGTCGGGGTGATGAGAGCACCCAAACCGGCCCCTAAGTGCTGCGCTCACTCCGTTGGCCCGAGGCTCCTCACCCGGAGCACGGGAAGGGCACCTTGCTGGCACTGCCCCGAGGCCTCAACGGCAGCCCCGTTTCAGTGAGCACACAGATGGCGTGGGGGCGCCGGGGCCATTACTAGCTTTCTGATGAGTGGCAAGTCATGTAAGCCTCAATGATCTCAACTGTGAAGTGGAAAAGACAATGACAGGTGTCCAAAGGTGACACTGCAGACAGCACTTGAGCCCTGACGTGTTGCCGAGTTCCTGCTGGTAATGCTGAGGAGACGCAGCAGAGGGGCCGACGGCCAGGGCAGGCTCACTGCAGTCTCCACGGGGAGAGCACGCGCCTTCCCTACTGAAGGGACATGCCCCCGATTCTAACTGCCAGTCACACCTCTGATTTCTCTCCTTGGAATGGAGGCGGGGTGGACCAGCAGGCCCCCTCGCTGGCTGATCTTGATGTTTGAACACGTGCACCCACCCCCCTCCCGCACCCATCTTTCCCAGATCAAGGTCATGCAATGTTAAAGGTACCGTATAGTTTCGCCTCCTCCACCAACTTTTGGGTCCTCTGCCGCAAGTTCTCGGTGTCTGCCAAAGCTCGCTTATATTTTTCCTAAAAGAAGGAAACTCACGTGAATAAAGCAGGAACAAATTCACAGGGAAACAAATCTGACATAAAGTCCAAGTCCAACCGCAAACATCTCCTATAGTGTTGGAGACTTGACTACACACAGTGCAGCTAACACAGAAGTGACTTACACCCGTGCCACCGTTTCCCATGAGCGAGGAGTAATATGGCAAGGTGACAGACACTTAGGTAGCCCCATGGCCCTTCTTACTCGGGACAGCTGTGGAAAGAAGCAAAAACTATTTTCTTGGGGTCCTGATGGCCTCATCATCCCTCAAGGAATGACCATTCACTTCCTTAGCAGAGTTTCCAACTGAAGGGAACCCTAGCACCCTTGCTGGGGGCTGACCCGCTTTGGTCCCCAGCCTGGGGGTTTAGGAGAACCACAGCCCCCAGCCCATGGAAAAGAACCTTGGGTATTTTCACCACTGCCTAGACGGGGCTCAGTTCCAACATTTCTTGTGATAATCATCTGAATTACCGGATCGTCCTCATTTCTCATCACTTTACTGTAATCCCACAGTTTTTCCTGAGCATTTCAATTTTTTAATGTGTGCTAGATGACCCTGGGGTGGGGGTGGGCACCACACCCCCGTTTCCTGACTTCACTCAGGCAATTCCTGCACAGTGGTCAAGAACAAGGTCTCCAAAGCTCAAACTCTGGCTCTGGCACTTGGCAGCTAGGTAGCCTTGGAAGTCTACGTAACCTTTCTGTGCCTCAGTCTCCCCGTCTGTAAACAGGACATCAGCAGCTAACTCAGGGTGGTTCTGAGGACTGAGGGACATGAAGACGCTAGCACAGTGTCAGCACGTTCGATGCTGCTGTTCCTGAACCAAGAACCGGCTCCACCACCTGTGCTTTTCCCGTGGGCGCCGATCCACACTGACTAGCTCATTAACTCCCACCTCCCAGCCGTGCCCTCCCCTCAGACCCAGCTTGAACCGCCGTACTGGTATTCCTCGTTTGTAAAGACCATTTTAAGTCTTAATTCAATACAATCATGGAGCATGTAAAGATGAGTCTCACAGCAGACCAGAGCCACACAGGACTTGGGTTCTAGTCCCGTCTTTATCAGTGACTTGCCGCAGGACCCAGCCGTAGTCCCTGGACAAACGAACTCGTCTGGCTTCAGGCCACAAGAGCCTGTTGGTCTCACCATAGTGTCCTTCAGCTGCTCTTCTAACTTGATCTTCTCCTCCACAAGCATCTTCTCCGCAGAGGGAGCATCTGTCTTCTGTTCGTTCTGACCCGCGTCCTCTTCCAAGTTCTGGCCGCTGTTCTTCTGCTTTGCAGCTGTGCACAGCAGCCGAGGGGCGGGCCTGTAACACAAGGCACAGGTGTAATTTTTGAAATCTGAAATAATTTAAGACTATTTGCTACTGACTTATTGGGAGAGTAAGGATTTATCTTGCTTCTAATATAGGCCAATCATACATGATGTTCAGAAACTATTTATTAAAAAAACCTTCTGTAATACAAGCCTAAACTAGCATGTCGTGTACCAAGGATGTGGCTAGCCCCCTCTTCTCTTCATTCTGAGTGTTGATCCTCCAGGCCCCACCAGGTACTGATGGAGTAGCTATTATTAGAGGAGAGGCCCAGAGCTGATGCTGATCACAAAGATGAACAGGGCAGAAATCCTGCCACAGGTACTAACTGTCATGCAAAGAAGGCATCTATACACAAAGAACTGTAATATGGGGTTTAAAAGTAACAAAAGAGGGAGGAGGCTTTTTGGGAGGCTCAGCAGAGGAGAATATGTCTAGCTTTGGAGAATGGAAAATGGAAGGCTTTGTGTAGTAGGGCTTTGAAGGACAGGTACCAGTTACACAGAAGGCCCTGGCCAGGTGGCTCAGTTGGTTGGAGCGCCATCTGTACACTGAAAGGTGGTGGGTTTGATCCCTGGTCAGGGCACATACGGGAGACAGCCAATCGATGTGTCTCTCACATCGATGTTTCTCCCCCCCCCCCGCCCCCACCTCTCTAAAATTAAAAAAAGAAAAGAAAAGAGTTACACATAAGGAATCTGAGTGGACATGACAAACCCCCTAACGGAAGAGGAAACGCTGGGACAAGGCATGGAGGTAGGAGAGTATGGGGAATGTACAGGGGAAACACAAAACTCTAAAACTAATCCTGGAAGTAGAAGTGACTTAATATATTATCCAGTCTGATCCCCACATCCAAAAGGTTAAATAATAAGCCCAAGGTCACAAAGCCATGAACAAATGATAAAATAGTTTTTAAACCCAGATTTCTTCATCACGACCAGTGGAGCTTTCTTAATTATGCTACAGTCCAATCTGAAAATAGACGACATTCCATTTTCTTCCCAGAACGGAGAACACTGCCTCAGCACGCAGGGCAGCAAGGCGCAGTGAGCTGGAAACAGAATGCTCAGCAGTAAAGAAATGGTGGGATGAACTTTTGCTTCCACGACCTGGAATACTGTGCAAGAAATGCAACCCCAAACATGCCCCCATCTGTGCAAAAACAAAGCAGAAATCCCGTGTCTGTGGTCTCGGGCAGACGGGCACGAAGGCTCCATCAGCCGGCTACGCCAGGGTGGAGCGCAGTCACCTTTTTACTGTAACTTGGTGTTTGCGACTTAAAAACAGCGGGTGGTCGAAACCAGAGCGTGCTGTCGTGAAACCTGTTTACTTTCTCGTTCTGTCTTCTGGGTGCGACAGTCCCAGCCCTTCGGCTCACTGCTCCCCGCGCCCCGTCTCAGAGCTCAGTTGCCCCAAGAGCTCTAACTGCGGTTCAGCTCTGACTCCCCGACTTGAGCCTCTTTTCACCGACAGAAACCAGTGCTGACTGGTCACGTCTTCCTGCAACCGATTCCAGACACCCGGCCACCGACTGCCTGAGCAGAAAGCCTCTGCTCGGGTGGGTCCCTGCTCCTGGGTCCCCGTGTTTGTTTACACAGTGTACGGGGCAGCAGTCAGGCCCTCACGCTCTTCCCCCCTCGGTAGTCGTGAGCGGCCCGCCGGGCCCCCCGCGCACGCCAGCGAGCTCCGCAGGAGCCGACCAGGGCGCGCCGCCCAGCCCCGGGGCCGGCGCCCGGAGTCACCGCTCCTCTCCCCGCGGCGGGCAGGGCCCGCGGCGCCGGTGACCTCGGACTCGGGAAAGGGCGGGGGAGAGGAGCTCGGGCCGAGCGGAAAACGCCCGTGGACCGCTGACCCGAACTTGGTTCCGCCGAACTCTCCGCCCGGAGGGACCCGGCCTCGCGCTGCCCGGGCGCGCGCCTGGCTCTGCTGGCGGCCGGCCCGCGGCTCCGCGGCTCCGCGGCTCCGAGGCTGCGGCCGCCTGTGCCCGGGCGCGCGCACGTGGGGCTGTCCACTGGCCGGGAGACACGCGTGCGGGGTCAGCGCGGGCCTCGGGCGCACGGGGCACACGGGGCGCACCGTCCGCTCCACTCCAGCCCCGCGCGGGCGTCCGCGGCCCACGACGCCCCGTTCCCGGCTCCAGGCAGGGGCCCTGACGACAGCGCCCTTCCGCCGAGGGCAGCCGGGCGCCCCTTACCTCAGAGACAACGCCAAAGCTGGGAGGCTGCGCCGCACCAACCTCACGCACCGAGCCGCCATGACGACCACCCGCGCCGGCACTGCGCACGTACCGGGCATGCGCAGAGGCTGCAGGCCCGCCTCCTCCGGGGCCAGGCCGCTCGCGCAGACTCTGCGCCTGCTACTTCCTTTCAGCCAATCGTCGATCGCATTTCTTCTGATGGACGGACAATGGCCGCCAATAACCGTGGGTCACGGTGGGTGGGCGGGGTCGAGGTCGTCCGGAGCTGCAGGAGGTGAGAAGGGGAAAGTTGAAGAAAACAGTGGGAGGAGACGCTCCGTGGGCGGGGCGTAGTCAAGGTTAAAGCCAATGGGGAGGTAGCATGGGGGCGGGGCGGGGCGCCGGAAGTGCGCACGTTTGGGGCGCGGAGGCTCTGGGGCTGGTTTTCCTTTCTAACATCCTATTTCTCTTTTCAGGCCGCCCTTTGGTCTTGCAGACAGCAAGGGGGCGGGACGGACATTTGTCCTCTGGTCACAGCCCCAGCTCCTGGCATGGTTGAACGCAGATGGTCAAGCGAAGGGCACGAGCACCCAGCATGCGCCTGCAGGTACATCGGACAGCCCTTTAGGAGGCTCCGCCCACTCGCTCTGGCGCTGGTGGCCAAGGTGGAGGAGTAAGTCGTGGCGAGAGCACGCCGTCGCTGTCTGTGAGTGTTACTGAAACAAAACAACTGCCACGACAACAAGAAGGAAAAAGAAAGATAACAAAAACCCCAGGAAGCCCAGGTGACCGAATGTCAGCAGTGTTGATGTTGGATGATGGGCGTGCGTTGGTTTTCTTTGCACTCTTCTATCACCTTCAGTCTTCTTAGAATAAAACACAAAGCAACGAAATAAGAACAGCACCTGGGAAGACTTTGGAGACACAGCTAAAGCTCACAAGTCCAACGTTCTCGTTCATCTGACGAAGGTCAGTGTCACGAGGCACGTGCCACGAAGAAGCTGAAGTGCTGGCAGAGAAGGTGCCACTGGTGCTCATATCCCTGAGCTGCTGCCCCTCCGGCGAGGCCCCCAGGAGCTCGGCCTGGCTCCTGCTTCAGTACTGCCTGGCCTGCAGCCCCCTCTGCCGGCATCTGACTCCTGGAGCCCGTGGTCTCCCCCAGGACCGCGGGGCTGGAACCCGTGGTCTCCCAAGTGTAGGGCTGCCTGCTGGTCACATTTGTGAGGACGGGACCTCTATTTGCTGGACGCCCCCTTAAGCAGCCATAATGTTGAATGAGCACCTACTGTGTGCTAGGCTCTGTGCCACCTGCAGGAGGAGGCAAACAGCCAAATCTAGAATTTAGGATGTTCTGTAGGAAAACACCCGGTTTGTTCATCAATTATGGGCATGGAGGAGGAAAATGGGAGTTAGGACTGTTTGGGGATAAAAGAGCATAAAGACATAACCGAATGGGATCATTTATTATTTGGATCATGAGAGAACAAACCAATTAAAAAGATACCTGTGAGCCGGTGGGGGAAATGTGGATATAAACTAGACAATAGTAAGTTATTGATACTTTTGTTAGGAACAGATAACTGCCTGGTGTTTAGGAAAAAATGTTCTAATGGTTTAGAGTTGCAAATGGAAGTGTTTATAGTGAATTGCCACCGTGTCTGGGATTTGCTTTGTGAATTCCCTGGTAAAAAACAAAACAGCATAGGAGAAACACAAGTGGCAAAATATGGTAACAGTCCAGGCTGGATGATGGGAGTCTGTATATTTGAAATTTTCTGTAATAAAAGGTATTATTATTTTTATTTCTGTAATGAAATTTAAAACAACATGTCTTTTTTTTTTTTTTTTTATCCTCACCTGAGGACATTTTTGCACTTATCTTCAGATAGAGCAGGAGGGAGAGAGGGGGAAAGAGAGAGAGATAGAGCAGGAGGGAGAGAGGGGGAAAGAGAGAGAGAGAAACATTGATGTGAAAGAGACACATTGACTGGTTGCCGCCCACATGACTCCAACTGGAGCCGGGGACAAACTGCAACTGAGGTGCGTGCCCTTAGCAGGAACTGAACCCAGGTTTCTCTGTTCTGCAGGCCGACACTCTAACCATTGAGCAAAACTGTCCAGTGCTATGTCATGTTTTTCATTGGCTGTGACCTTGGGCAAGTCACTTACTTGCTCTTAGCCTTGATATGCTGACCTGTAAAATGGGGATGGCGTTATCTATTACGAAGTTTAAAAGAGATACAAATACTCACTTCCTAACTCTTCTTGGGGCTCCGAGGAAACCAGATGGGCATCCTGCTGTAAGCAGCTCTTGGTGCAGCGTGGGGAATCAGCAGTCACAACAGCCTCTGTGTCCCAAGACAGACAAGCACCAGGCGACTGTGCCATGCTGGGCACATCGAAGTGTTCATCAGTCCAGGCCAGCCTGGAGGCTGTGCCCTGGATCCCTGTCCAAAACTGGAATTCCCGGAACAGAGGCCTGCCTGTGCTTCCACCTTGTGGTCACACTGGGAACTGCTCCAAAGGGAACTGGGGCTGGAGGTACAGGGGTGTCATTTTGCCACTGCTCTTGGGAGCCTGCTCTGGTCGTCCTGAGGTCTGGAGCTTGATGGCCTCAATGCAAGTCATCTCCACGTGGGGATGAAGCTGCCAGTCTGGGAGTGTCCCACACATTCTCCCTTAGGTGGACCAGCCGGCGGAACTTCACGCTTCCAGCCAGGGGGTGGGCGGCTGGCCGGGGGTGCAGGAAGACCACGCTAGCCAGCATGTGGTGGCCCCAACAAGGATGAGGCGGTGTTTCAAAAACTAAACATCCCCCGGAGAAGGTCGTACAGATGGCTCAGCATGTCGGGCGTGGGTGTAGTGCTCATAACAGCCGAAGAGGTGGTCCCCTCGTGAGCAGCCCCCGTGCAGGCTGAGCAGTCACCTTGTGAGGTGACTGGCTCGAGGTCATGCAGGTGGACAAGGGAGAGCTTTTGTGTGTGTTTCCCAACTAATCTTAGCTTCCATGTGACTATCAGGGTTGAAGTTAGAATCTGAGTCCATGTATTGCTACAAGCAGTAGTAGTAGTAGTAGTAGTAGTAGTATCATCCCTCAGCAGGGACATGGAATTTCATCCTGTATCAAACTCTGAAATAAGCAAATTAAAAAACAAATAAACGTGGGTAAGACGGGTGTGGCAGACAGAACTCTGAGGCTGGGCCCCAGGCCCTCCCCGGCTGGTTATTCACACCAACAGGAATCGGAGAGCAGCTGGGAAGGGCTTTGCAGCTGCAAGGGAAGTCCCACCACCTGACCTCATGGAGATGATCTGTTGGGCTTGACCTCGGCAAGCCCCTTACAAGCAGCGAGTTCCCTCCGGCAGGTGGCGTGAGAGGCTCAGGTCATGACTGCTGTGCAGGTGGAGGGGTCCTGAGAGCGGCCTCCAGGAGCAGAGCAAGGCACCCGGCCGGCCCGGCGAGGAAAGGACCTCACTGCACAGTAATCCTATGAGGTGGGCGTTGCTTGTATTCTCTGTTTTAAAAAATATGTTTTTATGGATTTTTTTTTAGAGAGGAAGGGAGAGAGAGAAACATCAATTGGCTGCCTCCTGCACGCCCCCTACTGGGGATCGAGCCCGCAACCTGGGTATGTTCCCTGACTGGGAAAGGAACCCGGACCTCCCAGTCTAGGGGACGGCACTCAGTCCACTGAGCCACACCGGCCACAGGCCAGTGCTGGTTTTGGAACTCCCCCTAGGAAGTGGGCGCCACTGTGACTTGTGTCATTGGCTGAAGCCAGGACACGCCCCTGAGTCCTCCGAGGCAGGGTTGACTGTCCTCACACAGGAGGGAGAGTTCTGCATGTGACTACAAGGAGACAGCATGCGGCTCAAGGGCCGGGTGCGCGTAGGAGCTCTCTGCGTGCACACTTCTGCATTCATTCAGCCGACCTTTCCGAGCCCCCTGCGGGGCCAGGCGTGGCCAGTCCCCGCCCTCCGCGGGCTCTGCCTGGATGGGGCACAGCCTGTTTGCGGGTCTTTGCCGCCCAGGGGACAAGCTGCGCCTGAGTTCTGTGCTCTGGAACCAGTCTTGGGAATCCTCCCGGGGAGGGGCGTTGGAGCAGGGGCTTCGAAGGATGGCTAGGAGCTCTTCTAGTGTAGAAGGGGGTCTAAATAAGAAAGCCTACTCATGAAGTGAAATTCTGTCCTAACAACTCATGAATGGCTAGAACTTTGCAGTTTACAACAGTGTTTCCACACGTAACTGCATTTAAATGTTGAAACAGCTCTTTGTGGTAAATGCTATTATCCCCAGTTTAAGGCCAAGTCAGTTTCCTGGGGTGGTGTGGGATTTGAATCTCGCTCTCATGGTGTGTAACATGTGATCTCCTAGAGGGTGTCCCTGCCCCTCAGTAACTGTGACCTTGAACAGCCCCTTTCCCGGAGCCTGTTTCTCATCTGTAAATGGGGCAGAAGCATCCTGCTGGGCTGGGCTCACAGGCCCTGCATCTCAAAGTGAGAAGGTGAGCGGACCCGAGGCCCTAGCCCGCGTCCGGGGCTGTCTCAGCCGGGCTGGTCACAAGACACCCCAGGGTGGGGGAGGGGCCTAGATGGCACAAGTTTCTTTTCTCACAGTTCTGGAGACAGGAGTCCCAGATGAGGGTGCCAGCGCTGTTGGGGTGCTGGTGAGGTGCCCTTTTGGCTGTGGTGTCCCTCCCTTAGAATAACGCTGATCCCATCACGGCCCCACCCTCACACCCTCATCCAAACCTCATCACCTCCGAGAGGCCCCACCTCCACATACCCCCTGGGGTTCGGGCTTCAACGTGTCCATTTGTGGGGACAGACGTTTGCCCACAGCGGCCCCCTTGTCTTTCCGGCTCAGTACTAGGACGCCGAGGGTCCCGCCCCTGCCTGCGCTCTTGGCTCACCGAGTCACGTGCTAATTCCGAGTCTTCTGCTGGTGGGACGCAGCGTGTGATCCTTCCGTCGTGGTCCGGGGCAGACAGGGCCCCAGGCTGCGTGGGGCACCGAGCCCTGTGAGGGGCACTGCCCCCAGGAAGTCTCCAGAGTCGCCGCCCCGTGGCCACCTTCCTGGTGGTCTCGGACGGCTTCTCCCTGCCTCTACCCCACCCCAC